TGCACCCAAACAAAATTTACGTCCTGTTTTTCACACAAGTAGAGCTTTCTTTCGGTGGTATTTGATCACCTGTGCGCTTTTTATTTTTCACTCAATAAACAAAAAAATTTTTTGAAGAAAAACAATATTTTTTACTTTCAGCTATAAAAAATATATAGTAAACTCAAAGTTGGTTATAAATTTAGGCCAAAATGTATTCTGCTCCATGTTTTTGGTAAAAAAAATCCCAATGAGTGTATATTGATTGCTTTGTGTGAAGTTATAGCGTCTACAAATTATGGTATAAATACTGCAATTTACGCCATTTTTTTGCTATACAGCGCTGTGCTACTTTAACGGACAATTGCGCGGTCATGCAATACGGTACATAAATAAAATGTATGTCCTTTTTTTCACAGAAATAGAGCTTTCTTTCGGTGGTATTTGATCGCCTGTGCGTTATTTTTTGCGCTATAAAAAAAAAAAAAAGGCTGACAATTTTGAGAAAAACTATATTTTGTACTTTTTGCTATAAAACATGTCCAGTAAAAAAAATGTTAAAAATCAAATTTCCTCATAAAGTTCTGCCAAAATGCATTCTGCGACGTCTTTGCTAAAACAAAACCCAATACGTGTAAATTAATTGGTTTACGTGAAAGTTATAGCGTTTACAATTGGCATGAAAGATACCGAGATTTTTAATTTTTTTTTATACTAATAATGGCGGCGATCAGCGACTTATGGCGGGACTGCGGCGGACATTCTGACACTGGGGGGGAACTGACTTGGGGTCACTGACATCCCCAGTGACACCAATACAGTGATCAGTGCAAAAAAAAAAAAACCACTGACACTGTACTAATGGCACTGGGGAGGAAGGGATTAACTTTTTTTTGCACTGAAAAGGGTTAACTGTGTGAGGGGGAGTGTTTTACTAGGGGGAGGGGGTGTGTACTGCAGGGAGACACAGCACGCGCTGGCTGATCGGGACAGAGAAACTCTTTTCTCCTGGTCAGCTTGTCAGGAACTATCAGGGAACTGACAGAAAGCAGAGCTACTGCAGCCCTGCTCTGTGTCAGTGATTGCCGCTAATCGGCGGGACACAGCTGATAATAACCGGCTGTGACCCGGCGACTGACACCCGCGGCTGAGATCGGCGGTGAAGGTAGGGCGGCGGTGCGCCTCGCGCGCGCCCCCTACCTGTTTTGAAACAGCCCATTTTAAAATGTGCTTTTGCCCAGCCGTGCCGCCCTGCCACCGTTTTTATACAGTGGCTGGGCGGTTAGTGGTTAAACTGGTTCTGCTGCACTTAGAGGCGCTTCTTTTTCCCTTTTACAGACCGGTACGTCGCCAGTAGATCCCGCCCCCCCGCTGCAGTAAAAGTACTGTGGTTGGTCGGTAAATAGGAGGAAAAATGTCTTTTACATGTTGATGAGGTAGGCGGGGGGAGGAAACAGAGAAGGTCAAACATAAACAGAATAAACTTCATCTTCAAAAAACATTTTATTTTTTAATAAAAAAAACATACAAAACAGTTCAGTTGATCCATAATGGTTGGAAAGTGCTTAGGCTGAAGGGACTCAATACTTGCCCTTTACAAAGGATGGAAAAGGCTGATCCAGTCTGAAGGTGCCATTCCAGCGTGAGACGCGGCCCAGCTGTCGGTGCGGTCAGGTCTCTTGATAAGTAAGACTGCAGACCAGGGGTGCTCAACCTGCTGAAGAGCGAGGGCCACTCAAGTGATGTGTTGACCGGTGGCGGGCCACAATGAAATGAAATGGCTCAGAATTTCATACTTTTTATTTTGAATAGCATAGTGAACATTTTTTCCTCCTGCCGCCGCTGAATGCCGGTGGGAGGTAGAGAAGGAGAAGCCGACTTTTAGTGGTTGCAGGAGGAATATGGCGAGGATCGGTTCCTGTATAGGCCACCCCCACAGCCTCTCCAGTGTAAAAGAGAATGTGACAGGGAGGCCGCAAGGGTCCCCTGGAGAATGGGGCGGGGTCTCCATTGCAACCCCTGACATTACACCAGTGGTTTGGGGGGGGTGCTTTAAAAACACATCTCAACTATGTGGTTTTACCACCTCCCAATCTGCAAATGTAAACAAGTCCTTATTGTTCCATGCCCCCTCAACTGACGCACAGAAAGTGCACCAAACTCGAAGGATATAATAGAAGTCTATGGCTCGGTGCAGCTCACCCGCAGGATATAATAGAAGTCTATGGCTCGGTGCAGCTCACCCGCAGGATATAATAAAAGTCTATGGCTCGGTGCAGCTCACCCGCAGGATATAATAAAAGTCTATGGCTCGGTGCAGCTCACCCGCAGGATACAATAGAAGTCTATGGCTCTGTGCAGCTCACCCGCAGGATATAGTAGAAGTCTATGGCTCTGTGCAGCTCACCCGCAGGATATAATAGAAGTCTATGGCTCTGTGCAGCTCACCCGCAGGATATAATAGAAGTCTATGGCTCGTGCAGCTCACCCGCAGGATATAATAGAAGTCTATGGCTCTGTGCAGCTCACCCGCAGGATATAATAGAAGTCTATGGCTCTGGGCAGCTCACCCGCAGGATATAATAGAAGTCTATGGCTCGGTGCAGCTCACCCGCAGGATATAATAGAAGTCTATGGCTCTGTGCAGCTCACCCGCAGGATATAATAGAAGTCTATGGCTCTGTGCAGCTCACCCGCAGGATATAATAGAAGTCTATGGCTCGGTGCAGCTCACCCGCAGGATATAATAGAAGTCTATGGCTCGTGCAGCTCACCCGCAGGATATAATAGAAGTCTATGGCTCTGTGCAGCTCACGCACAGGATATAATAGAAGTCTATGGCTCTGTGCAGCTCACCCGCAGGATATAATAGAAGTCTATGGCTCTGTGCAGCTCACCCGCAGGATATAATAGAAGTCTATGGCTCTGTGCAGCTCACCCGCAGGATATAATAGAAGTCTATGGCTCTGTGCAGCTCACCCGCAGGATATAATAGAAGTCTATGGCTCGGTGCAGCTCACTCGCAGGAAAGCTGCACCCGTGGATCAGTGTGAAAGCAGCCTGATAGTTGTTACCCCTTTATAGGTTCTAATATGGCCATTGCAAAAGTGCAGTGTCTGTGTTGTTTAACCTTTTCACTGCCAGAGCCATTTGATTTTTTTTCCCACATGTTTAACCACTTCATGTCCGGACACTTTCACCCCCTTCCAGTCGGGACACTTTCACCCCCTTCATCCACTTTCCTTCCTGTCCAGGTCAATTTTCAGCTTTCAGCACTATCACACTTTGAATGACAGTTGCGCGGTCATGCAACACGGTACCTGAATGAATTTTTTAGCATTTTTTTGAGACAGATAAAACTTTTTTTGGTAGTATTTATTCACCGCTGGGTTTTTTTTTTTTTTTTTTTTTGCTATATAAATGAAAAAGTCCAAACATTTTGAAAATAAGTGTTTTTCTTATAAAATTTTGCAAATAAATAATCTTTCATCATAAATCTTGGCCAAAATGTATTCAGTTATCTTTTTAGCAAAAAAAAAAAAAAAAAATAACCCAAATTAGTTTATAACCAAAAATTGTAATTTTTTAAAAATAGTTTTTACATTTTTATTTTTTTTTTTATATTATTATTTATGTTTTTTTTTTACATACTGTCACCCTAGCAGTACAGGGTCACCATAGTGACACTGTACTACTTGTGGGGGGTTATGAAGATTTATTTTTTTTTTCCATCACGATTTTTTTATTGACAGGTTCCCTTTAATGAGACATGCAGGGTCTAACAAATCCCCGATGTCTCCACCGAATGTGTTGCAATGCAGATTACATTGCAATACATTCCTTCCTGGCTATTCTAGCTGGGGGAAGTGACGTCATACACATTGCTTTCCGGATCACAGCAAGAAGAGGAGAGCGGACGTGTGTCTGCTCCCTTCCCTCCCCTCCACCCACCGGCACCCGCCGTGTTGGCCCTGGGCGCGCAGATGGGCAAGCCGAGCCTGGAACACATGGTGGGGGCGTGGGGGGCATAACTGGGGATGTGTGGAAGCAATCTGGCGTCAGCGTAGCAGTCAGAATGCTTCTACCCGACAGGCAAAAGTCTGCCTGTCAGTTTTACACACAATCCTGGTGGCTGCAGCCACTGGATTGTGTGTAAACCCCCCCTGCTGTCAGGTCTGTATAATGTCCAGAGCTGGCAGTGAAAAGGTTAATACACTTGCCCTGGGCCGCAGATGGGCAAGCCGAGCCTGGAACACATGTGGGGGCGTGGGGGGCATAACTGGGGAAGTGTGGAAGCAATCTAGCGTCAGCGTAGCAGTCAGAATGCTTCTACCCCCACAGGCAAAAGTCTGCCTGTCAGTTTTACACACAATCCTGGTGGCTGCAGCCACTGGATTGGTGTAAACCCCCCCTGCTGTCAGGTCTGTACAATGTCCGGAGCTGGCAGTGAAAGGGTTAATACACTGACCTTTTCCTTTTCCAGCTTCTGCTCTCCAGGCTGCTAGAAAGGTCCCAGGCAAAGTGCACTTGGTATCACGTCACCATGGACAGGAGCCGACGCTACATAGGAAGCTCCAGCTTCCTCCACTACCAGCACCGGCTCAATGCACTCTGATGCCCAGGAATGGCGGGTCGGCAAAGCCCAGGTCAAGATCAACGGGATGCATACACTTCCCTGGTTTGAGGTTGAGGGCCACATCAGAGGGTTCCAAGGTTGAGCACCCCTGCTGTAGAAAAAAAAAAAAAGGACGATGTAAAACCACGCACATCATTTGTAAAGTCCTCTGCTACAAATAATAAAGCGAAGAAAATATGAAAAGGTGCACAAATCTTTAACATATCCAGAATAAAAAAAAGAAAAGAAAGCTGATTGTATTCTTAGGATATCAGAGACCTAGCCGGATCCCGAAATGATGGCGCCTGTCATACAGAAGCTCCTGGGAGTGTGTCAGTAAAGTCCACAGCCGCAGGACAATCCCATGATTGAGGGCATCAATACAGAACCAAAAACGAAATCTTCTCTAATTCGTTTTAAAGAAGAACCTCTTGCGAAGGAAATTGAAGTATCCAGGGATCTGTTTATATGTTCCTTTTGTTGATACAACATTTGCCACCTGCACAGGTAAAAAAAAAAAAAAAAAACACTTCAAACACATATGTGCTGCAAAGCAAGAAAATAAGCAAATACAACATGTGACCATTTGTCTTACTCCTGCAGCCCAAACAGCTATACCAGAATACTCAATTGTTCTGGATGATGCTGAACATAGCCACCTGCAACTTGTCACGATGGGGGATCAGGGGGAGCGGGGCTGCTGCTGTAGTAACACGTTACACCCAGAACACAGGTATAACATGTAACATGTTACTAAAGGTGATCTTATCCTTTAAAAACCACTCGCCTACAGGACATTTATACCCCCCTTCCTGCCCAGGCCACTTCTCAGCTTTCAGCGCTGTCGCACTTTGAATGACAATTGCGCGGTCATGCAACACTGTACCCATATGAAATTTTTATCATTTTTTTGAGACACATAGAGCTTTATTTTGGTGGTTATTAACCCCCTCGCCTACCAGGCACTTATACCCCCTTCCTTACCAGGCCAATTTTTTTCAGCGCTGCCGCACTTTGAACAATTGCCGGTCATGCAACATTGTACCCATATGAAAATTTTGATCATTTTTTTCTCACAAATAGAGCTTTCTTTTGGTGGTATTTAATTGCCACTGGGCGCTTTACTTTTTGCGCTATAAATAAAAAAATTGCAAAAAATTTGAAAAAAAAAAAAAATTTCTTTGTTTCTATTATAAAATTTTTCAAACAGGTATTTTTTCTCCTTCACTGATGTGCGTTGATGAGGCAGCACTGATGGGCACTGATAGGCAGCACTGACGGGCACTGATAGGCAGCACTAAAGGGCACTGATAGGCAGCACTAATGAGGTGTCACGGATAGGCGGCACTAATATGCAGCACTGATAGGCGGCACTGATAGGTGACATGATGATGGGTATGATAGACGGCACTGACTGGCATCACTGCTGGGGCACTGACTGGAGGCACTGACTGGCACAACCCCTGGGCACTGATGGTGGCACTGATGGCAGCACTGCTGGGCTGCACTGGTGGGTGGCACTGGTGGGCAGCACTGGTGGGTGGGCACAGGTGGGTGGGCACAGGTGGGTGGCACTTCTGGGCACAGGTGGGTGGCCCTTCTGGCCACAGGTGTGTGACACTGCAGAGTGCACAGGTGGGTGCACTGCTGGGCACAGGTGGGTGATCTGCTGGGCACAGGTGGGCGGAGCTAGTGGGTGCACTGCTGGGCACCGATCATCAGGGCACTGATCATCAGTGCCCTGATGATCGGTGCCGATCCCGCTGTGACAACTGCCGGTTCTCGGCAGTACTTTCCTCACGATCTGACAGCGTGAGGAAAGTGCAGCCGAGAACCGGCACTTGCATTTCCCTGTGATCAGCGTGTCATTGGACACCGCTGATCACGTGGTAAAAGGCCGCTGGGATCGGCCTTTTAACCACATCACGTGATCAGCTGTGTCCGTAGGACACTCGATCACGGAGATCATGTCGCCCCCCTGGGGCGCGCAGGAGAGCGCGTTCTGGGGGGGACGTCATATTCCACCCAGAACTGGCCGGCCGCAGTGAAGCCGTCATTCGGCTATCTGCGGTCGGCAACTAGTTAATCACCTCTGGGTTTTTAATTTTTTGCTAAACAAATAAAAAAAACAACTTAAAATTAAAAAAAAAAAAAAGAAGTTTTTTCTTAGTTTTTGTTATAAAATTTTATTAATAAGTGATTTTTCTCCTTCACTGATGTGCGCTAATTAGACTGCAGTGATGGGCACTGATATGCTGCACTGATGAGTACTGATGAGGAGGCACTGGTAGGTGGCACTGATGGGCATTGATAGGCATCACTGATGAGCACTAAAAGGCAGATTCATATATGGCATGATAGGCGGCACTGACTGGCACTGATAGGCGGCACTGACTGGCACTGTTAGGCTCACTGACTGGCACTGTTAGGCGGCACTGACTGGCACTGTTAGACTGGACTGCATGATAGGTGGCACTGACTGGCACAGATAGGTGACACTGAAAGGCAGCTCAGATGGGCACTGATATATGACATTGATGTGGCACCTATGGGCACTGGCAGGTGGCATTGATAGGCAATGACAACTGGCATTGATGGACACTGACAGGTGGCACTGCACACTGATCATCAGTGCCCTGATGATCAGTGTACATGTCCCCTCTGAGGATGCAGATTACCAGGCTCTCCTCTCCTCTGTCAGCGTGACAGCTCGTGAGGAGAGGACTGCAATAACTGGCATTTCCCTGTTTACATGCGATCAGCTGTGATTGGACACAGCTGATCACATGACCGAGCTGACATCTTCGGCTCTTTCCGTTGATCAGTGAACTGCTGTGTCTTGGACACAGCCCGTCATTGCCTTCCCAGGATATGGCATGCGCGGGAGGCGGACGTCATAACGTCCTCCCAGAAAAAGAACTGCGCCCGTCATTACCTTATATGTAAAGGCTGTGCATTGCCCATGTAACGCAAAAAAAAAACACAACTGGAGACACACTAACCATGACCAACAGAGTCTGCAGGTCTAAAGACGTAGCGTAGTTTTCCAGGACTTCATCTAGCGTCTCCACATACCATGATCCGCTCTTCTTATCGCGCCAGGAAACGTAACCTAATAGAAGGATTGACAGCTTGAGAAAAAATAAAAAGTACAGTTTTTAAAATAAAACCTGCCACTAGCCAGCAAAGCAACAGATCCCTTCTTGTCAGGAAGAACACATTCATAGTGGGGCCTATTGGCTGTAGTTCCTCCACACCTGTAAGGCCTTAAACCAGGAGTGGGCCTTTTAGAGGTTGAGATCTACCTGGACAACACAGATAAACAAAAAGACGTCATGAAGAACACAGTGGTGTCCTCTGCCCCGCTTCAAATCTTCCGATACCCACACAGTGGTGTCCTCTGCCCCGCTTCAAATCTTCCGATACCCACACAGTGGTGTCCTCTGCCCCGCTTCAAATCTTCCGATCCCCCACACAGTGGTGTCCTCTGCCCCGCTTCAAATCTTCCGATCCCCCACACAGTGGTGTCCTCTGCCCCGCTTCAAATCTTCCGATCCCCCACACAGTGGTGTCCTCTGCCCCGCTTCAAATCTTCTGATGTCCCCACACAGTGGTGTCCTCTGCCCCGCTTCAAATCTTCTGATCCCCCACACAGTGGTGTCCTCTGCCCGCTTCAAATCTGCCGATACCCACACAGTGGTGTCCTCTGCCCCGCTTCAAATCTTCCGATCCCCCACACAGTGGTGTCCTCTGCCCCGCTTCAAATCTTCCAATCCCCCACACAGTAGTGTCCTCTGCCTCGCTTCAAATCTTCCGACCCCCCACACAGTGGTGTCCCCTGCCCCGCTTCAAATCTGCCGATCCCCCACACAGTGGTGTCCCCTGCCCGCTTCAAATAATCTGATCCCCCACACAGTGGTGTCCTCTGCCCCACTTCAAATCTTCAGATCCCCCACATAGTGGTGTTCCTCTGCCCACTTCAAATCTTCCGATCCCCCACACAGTAGTGTCCTCTGCCCCACTTCAAATTTCTGATCCCCCACACAGTAGTGTCCTCAGCCCTGCTTCAAATCTTCCGATCCCCCACACAGTAGTGTCCTCTGCCCCACTTCAAATCTTCTGATCCCCACACAGTGGTGTCCTCAGCCCTGCTTCAAATCTTACGTTCCGATCCCCCCCATTGCAATATCCTCTGCCTCCCCCCCAATAGTATTGTACCATGCCCCCTGCCCCACCCCACCCAAAGGAGTGTTCTCTGTCTCCCACAAGTAGTGATATTGGCCCCTTTCACAACACACATCCATAAGTACATCTCTCCTACGTTACACCAGATGTACATCAGAGCGCAATGAGAGGCAGCACCGTGCTGGATGGAGGGTGGGAGCTGCCAGAGTTAACTTTTCATGTTAACAAGTTGATGATTGGTTACTAGGACGCCGCCTAGAAACCAATCACCTGCTGGTTAACTTGCAGAGTTAAATAAAGCAGCCACCATCCACCATCACAGTTTTGTAACTCTGCTCTGCTATTAAAAGGAGAGCAGCAGAGGCTGGGGGGGGAGGGTGTGAGTAGATCGGCACAGCCCTGATCGTGATCTACCTGCCAACTTCCCGCGATCAATGGCTTGCTGACCCCGGCCTTACAACTGTGATATATGCAAACCTGGAAAAGGTCGAATAGGACACCAGAATATCATCCTGGAGGTGGGCAGGCTCGCCACTGCATCCGTTTCGTCTCCATCTTCCTCACCAGGGACGGGACAGGAGTGGCATCAGATTGCAAGGAACAATTGTCAAATTTCCCAGGGAGGTCTGCAGATTCCACCGCTATGCCTCTATCTTTCTGATCTTTGAAACAAAAAAACAAAAAAAAAAATAATGAGTTTTTCAATAAAAGACTCATCAGTTACAAAAGTGACTTCAAATATTCATTTTCATTTTCCAAAATTTCCAAACAAAAATCTACCATAAGACATCATTCATGTGGGTGCTGAGGCCCATACACCATGAATGGCCTGTTTCTTTATGTGGATTGAGCCGCCAGTTTTTTTTTTTCCTTTTAATGTGGTGCACAAAAACGAACCCCCCCCCCCCCCCCAAAAAAAAGGTAAGTGTACAAATGAGCATGAGCACACATACAATGAAGTGCACTGACGGGTGTGTCTCTTGTCCACCCCCAAAGGAGTGGGACAGTACCAACAGGGACAAGGTTTCGAACATGGTCCAAAGAAAACAACAAAAAATTTCCTGCTCACCTGTCAGCCTGCAATTGGGAATTTTGTTTGTTGTGTTTTGAATACATCATCCTTCCACGTGCTGTCCTAGCTGCATAGGCCAGTTACGGGGGTGGTTGCCAGTTGTTTCTAAAACATGGTCCACCTGGCCAAAAGGCCTGGTGGACCCTTCTCCTCATGGCCAGCCGAAGCCGGCCAACAAATACTGGGTGAGGGGCTCTCCTGAAGAGAGACCCCCTGGTTTAGGGGGGACGAAGGAACCTAATGGCCACACCATCTCCCCCTAGACTCAGGGTAGGCCTGAGGTCTCACACCCTCCATCCAGTGAAAGAAACACAAACAAGAGTGCAAAGCGACACAAAACACAAAGGGAAAAACAAAAAAAACCAATTAAATATTGCCCGGATGCATTGTGCATAGGCTAGACCCTGGGGCCTGGTAGCTAAAAAACTGCCATGGACTTAGCCAAAAGGCCTAGCCAAAGAGGCCTAGTCAGGGGCGGACTGACAACTCATGGGCAATTAGGGGATCATGGGGCCCCTGTGTCCTCGCCCACACTCAAACCACACCAAAAAAAGCCTATGAAAAGGTACCAGGGGGCATCTCATGGGGCCCCCTACTGACCCAGGCCCTCGGGCAGTGCCCGAGAGCCCAAATGGTGAGTCCGCCCCTGGGCCTAGTGCAGAACACCTTCAGTGTGGTGACCATGTGCCTTTCCAAACATTATGGGGTTCTCGGGGCCCAAGTGCTGCTAAGAGCACCCCTGGGGCAAACCAACTCTTGGGGAAACCTCGGATACTTTGCCTTCCCAGACCATGGACAGACAAAGGAGAAACACAGTTTGTTTTTATCCACAGACGCCCCTTACCTGCATTTGGCAGTTCTTTGGTGAAGGTGAACTAACCCTTTAACCACTTCCCGTCCAGCTCATGTATATAAACGGGCGGACAGGAGCGTGCAGGGTCGGGTGGCCGTTTATAAATGTCCTCCCTGCCCCCTGCTTGTGCGCACTCCCTGGGAGTGCGCAGCACCGCAATCTGGTGCCTGTTGTGTCCTCCGGACACAGTGGGAACACCGATCGTTGTACGGGACCTCTGTGTGAGGTCCCGATCATGTGATCACTATTTGGCCAATCACATGAAGAGTAGTAAGCAAGATGTCACTTCTGGACATCATTGCTTACTACGTGTGAAATCTGTGAATGATCACAGAGATCACATGGTACAGGGCCATTCACAACAGCCTTGTACCATGTGACAAGCTGTGACCAATCACAGCTCACACAGGATGTATTTCTCAATTGGCTGCAGGAATGCAGCCAGAGAGAAGGATAAATGATTGCTTTTACAGCCTTTATGGGTATAAAAGCAATCAGTGTAAAAAAAAAAAAAAAAACTTCATAACACCCCCACAAGTAGTACAGTGCCACTACGGTGACAGTATGTAAAAAAAAAAAAAAACTAATTTGGGTTATTTTATTTTTTTTTTTATGCTAAAAGATAACAGAATACATTTGGCCAAGATTTTTGAAGAAAGATTTATTTGCAAAATTTTATAAGAAAAAACAATTTTTTTCAAAATGTTTGGACTATTTCATTTATATAGCAAAAAAAAATCCCAGCGGTGAATAAATACCACCAGAATAAAGTTTTATCTGTCTCAAAAAAATGCTAAAAAAATTCATATGGGTACAGTGTTGCATGACCGCGCAATTGTCATTCAAAGTGTGATAGCGCTGAAAATTGGCCTGGACAGGAAGGGGGTGAAAGTGTCCGGACTGGAAGGGGTGAAAGTGTCCGGGACTGGAAGGGGTGATGAAGTGTCCGGATTGGAAGGGGGGGAATGTGTCCGGACTGGAAGGGGGGGAAGTGTCCGGACTGGAAGGGGGTGAAAGTGTCCGGACTGGAAGGGGGGGAAAGTGTCCGGACTGGAAGGGGGGAGGAAAGTGTCCGGACTGGAAGGGGGGGAAGTGTCCCCGGACAGGAAGGGGGGGAAAGTGTCCGGACTGGAAGGGGGGGGAAGTGTCCCCGGACAGGAAGGGGGGGAAAGTGTCCGGACTGGAAGGGGGGGAAAGTGTCCGGACTGGAAGGGGGGGAAAGTGTCCGGACTGGAAGGGGGGGAAAGTGTCCGGACTGGAAGGGGGGGAAAGTGTCTACACTGGAAGGGGGGTGTGAAAGTGTCCGGACTGGAAGGGGGGGAAAGTGTCCGGACTGGAAGGGGGGGGAAAGTGTCCGGACTGGAGGGGGGGAAAGTGTCCGGACTGGAAGGGGGGGAGAAAGTGTCCAGACTGGAAGGGGGGGAAAAGCGTCCGGACTGGAAGGGGGGGGGAAAGCGTGGTCCGGACTGGAAGGGGGGGAAAGCGTCCGGACTGGAAGGGGGGGGAAAGTGTCCGGACTGGAAGGGGGTGAAAGAGTCCGGACTGGAAGGGGGGGAAAGTGTCCGGACTGGAAGGGGGGGGAAAGTGTCCGGACTGGAAGGGGGTGAAAGAGTCCGGACTGGAAGGGGGGGAAAGTGTCCGGACTGGAAGGGGGGAAAGTGTCCGGACTGGAAGGGGAGGAAAGTGTCCGGACTGGAAGGGGGGGAAAGTGTCCGGACTGGAAGGGGGGGGGAAAGTGTCCGGACTGGAAGGGGGGGAAAGTGTCCGGACTGGAAGTGGTTAAAGACCCGGCCTTTTCTGACACTTTTAATTTATAATTAAAAAAATCAGCATTTTTTTTGCTAGTAAATGACTTAGAACCCCTAAACATTATATATTTTTTTTTTAGCAGAGGCCCTAGAGAAAAAATGGTGGTCGTTGCAATTTTTTATGTGTGGACGTGGTTTCTCAAATGCATTTTTTGGGGGAGAAAAAATACACTTTAATGAATTTCAATGCAAAAAAACCACAATACATAACCCAAACTTTTGGTAAAATATAAAAGATGAGTAAATAGATACCAAATATGTCACACTTTAAAATTGTGGAATGGCGCCAAACTACTGGTACTTAAAAAAAAATCTCCCTAGGCGACGCTTTTACAGGTTACCAGTTTAGAGCTACAGAGGAGGTCCAGCACTAGAATTATTGCTCTCGCTAAAATGTTCTTGGCAATACCTCACATATGTGGTGTGAACATCGCAGGGGCGGACTGACCATTCGAGAACTCAGGCACTGCCCAAGGGCCCGGGGGTCAGTAGGGGGCCCCATAAAATGCCCCTGGTACCTTTTATGGGCTCTTTTGGATGTGTTTTGAGTGTGGGCGATGACACAGGGGCCCCATGATCCCCAATTGCCAAGGGGCCCCATGAGTTGTCAGTCCACCCCTGTGTATACATATGTGGGCGCAAGCTACGCATGCGTTCTCATTTTTACATTTTTTTTGGATCACTTTAATTGCCATCACAAGAAATCCTTTGTGATAGAAATAAAGCATGACAGGTCCTCTTTATGGAAATCTGGGGTCTAGAAGACCCAACACCCCAGATCTCTCCTCTACTCTTGAAAACATTTGATTAAAAAAAAACAACAAAAAATAAATAAAAACAAAAAAACATTGATCTGATGTCCCCCCCCCCCCCCCCAAAAAAAAAGGTCAGTGTTTACATCAGGCTAAGTCAAAAGAGACATCATGATGTCACTTCCGGCCTCCTAAATCACAGAAGTGATCAGAGACGATCTGGTCTCTCTTCACCTCTATGGCCAGCAGCCACAACCGCCAGATCGGATGCCGGGCCTCTCAGTGGAGGACACTTGGTTGGGGGGGATGGTGGTTAACCCTGGGGACCCCTCCTGCTGCTTCTAAAAGCAATCCATCAGCTAATCAGCCGCTTGGATCACTTTTAGGCAAAAGAGTGGGTTTCACCTCCACCTTCGTCACTGAAAAATATTATATTTATTACTCTGTAATGCTGATAGTGACTTGCGGATTCATGCGACGTGTGAATCACAATAAGAAGTCCACGTGAAGAACCACCTATGAGATCTCCTTACCGCCTCCGCAGGCCTGGATGAAGAACAGCTTTGGTTTTCCTCCCAGACTCGGACAGTTGTGACCATTGAAGTACGTGACAATCCTCTCCACAGGGATCTTTATGCCGTCTGTTCCGTAAACCCCGCCCGGAAACCGCGTTTGTGTCGAGTCTGACAAGAAACATACTCTTTATTATAGATGACTGCTCCACCAGTTTCATAACTTCCCTGTCCTGTCTGAGGATCTGAAGTCCCCGGTCACACTGGGTGCGACTTGGCATGCGGTTTGCATGTCATACGACCTGAAAATCGCACCCTATTGTCCGCAATTACAGTGGTCATATCAGTCCTGTTACATGTCCCTTGCTGTACTACTGGCAGTCCTGTTACACGTCCCTTGCTGTACTACTGGAAGGGGGGGAAAGTGTCCGGACTGGAAGGGGGTGAAAGTTTCCGGACTGGAAGGGGGTGAAAGCGTCTGGACTGGAAGGGGGTGAAAGTGTCCGGACTGGAAGGGGGGAAAGTGTCCGGACTGGAAGGGGGGGAAAGTGTCCGGACTGGAAGGGGGGGAAAGTGTCCGGACTGGAAGGGGGTGAAAGTGTCCGGACTGGAAGGGGGGGAAAGTGTCTGGTCTGGAAGGGAGTGAAAGCATCCGGACTGGAAGGGGGGGAAAGCGTCTGGACTGGAAGGGGGTGAAAGTGTCCGGACTGGAAGGGGGGAAAGTGTCCGGACTGGAAGGGGGGGAAAGTGTCCGGACTGGAAGGGGGGGAAAGCGTCCGGACTGGAAGGGGGTGAAAGCGTCCGGACTGGAAGGGGGTGAAAGCATCCGGACTGGAAGGGGGGGAAAGCATCCGGACTGGAAGGGGGGGAAAGCATCCGGACTGGAAGGGGGGGGAAAGCGTCCGGACTGGAAGGGGGGGGGGGGGAAGCGTCCGGACTGGAAGGGGGGGGGGGAAGCGTCCGGACTGGAAGGGGAGGGGGAAGCGTCCGGACTGGAAGGGGGGGGGGGGGTAAGCGTCCAGACTGGAGGGGGGGGGGGGGGGGTGGGGGTTAAGCGTCCAGACTGGAAGGGGGGGGGGGGGGGTGAAGCGTCCAGACTGGAAGGGGGGGGGGAAGCGTCCAGACTGGAAGGGGGGGGGAAAGCGTCCAGACTGGAAGGGGGTGAAAGCGTCCGGACTGGAAGGGGGGGAAAGTGTCCGGACTGGAAGGGGGGGAAAGCGTCCGGACTGGAAGGGGGGGAAAGCGTCCGGACTGGAAGGGGGGGGAGGGAAAGCGTCCGGACTGGAAGGGGGGGAAAGCGTCCGGACTGGAAGGGGGGGAAAGCGTCCGGACTGGAAGGGGGGGAAAGCGTCTGGACTGGAAGGGGGGGAAAGCGTCTGGACTGGAAGGGGGGGAAAGCGTCCGGACTGGAAGGGGGGGGGAAGTGTCCGGACTGGAAGGGGGGGGAAGTGTCCGGACTGGAAGGGGTTAAGGCTAGTTAGGTTTAAGCTGAAATGACACTTTACTCATCATTATATTTACATCTATATGAGCTTCTCACCTCACAGCCATGGGACAGGATAATGACCAGGCAGCAGTCCCTCTTGCTGTGATCTCTGGAAGCCAGACGCTGGAGCTCCTCGTGGATTTCCTGCAGACAAGGATACAATATCATGACCCATCGACACATCTACCATTATCATTTCTATAGAACATATGAGGAGTATACCGCACTGACCATTCCTTTCAGATTAGTCTTCACAGACACCTCGAAATGATACAATCTCATCCGCATCTCCATCTTCTGCCGGTCAATGTCCGAGCCGGCTCTGTAGGACAGGCCGGTGGATTCCGCAAACTCCATGTTATTGATGATGAGGCAATAACCGCAAGGATCAAAATTCAATGGGTAATCCTAGAAATACAATTTCAAATGTACTTTTTTTATTCTAAAGAGAATCGGTCTCAAATGGGCTTGGAGATCAGACCTAACTCATTGTGAGCGTTCAGTACTTATGAAAGTTTCGATCTGCGCCTATTTACGTTTTTCTGTGCCTGATTTTTTAATTATAGAGGTGGAAGTTCAACTAACTAGGCTACCAAGAGGAATGGCAGAGTTTTGGGAACTACTGTGGGTGCTGGTAGTGGGGTGGGAATGGTGGGAATCACTGCAGGTGCTGGAAGTGGGGTGGGAATGGTGGGAACCATTGCAGGTGCTGGTAGTGGGGTGGGAACTGCTGTAGGCTCAGGTAGTGGGGGTGGGGGGCTGGGAACCACCATGGATTCTGGTAGTGTGGAAAATAGTGGGAACCATCATGGGCTCTGGTAGTGGGGGAGATGGTGGGAACCGCAGCAGGAGCTGCCAGTGGGCGTGAATGGTGGGAACCACTGCAGGCTCTGGTAGTGGGGGAAATAGTGACAAAACCACCGAAGGCAATGGTAGTGAGGAGGGGATGGTGAGATCCACCATGGATGCTGGTAGTGTATGTGTGTGTGTGTGTGGTGAGTAGTGGGGTGGGAACCACTGCAGGTGCTGGTAGTGGGGGGGGAATGGTGGGAACCACTGCAGGTGCTGGTAGTGGGGCGGGAATGGTGGGAACCACTGCAGGTGCTGGTAGTGGGGCGGGAATGGTGGGAACCACTGCAGGTGCTGGTAGTGGGGTGGGAACCACTGCAGGTGCTGGTAGTGGGGTGGGTGAATGGTGGGAACCGCTGAAAGCTGGTAAAGTAGTGGGGGTAGGGGGCTGGGAACCACTATGGATTCTGGTTAGTGTGGAAAATAGTGGGAACCATCATGGGCTCTGGTAGTGGGGGGGAATGGTGGGCACCACTGCAGGGGCTGCCAGTGGGGGCAAAAAGTGGGAACCACTGCAGACTCTGGTAGTGGGGAAAATAGTGACAGGCAATGGTAGTGGGGGGGGATGGTGAGATCCACCATGGGTGCTGGTAGTGTGTGTATGTGTGTGGTAATCCACCATGGATGCTGGTAGTGGGAGGGATGGTTGGAAACCAACATGGACACTGGCACTGGGGGTGGGGTGGGGGGGGGGGTGGGAATGGCACCTTCCAAGCCCTGTAAAAGTGATCATTCACGTGAAATCCAACTGCCAGCCGCAAAAATCATTACCAAGTTTACAACAGCAGCTGTGTTTGCTTTACCCCTGGCATACAGGACGGGTATAAATGGCAGACAAGGAGTTAAACTTCAGCTTTAAAGATTCTATTAAATGGTATTTGAATTACGATTTGTAAAATAGGCGAATTACTTATAAATAAGTCTCACAGTACAAACAATACCAACCTTTTCTATGTCCAGTAATTTAGTCTTCACAACTGGATTAGCTGAGGAAAGACGAGAGTTAAATATTATTGCAGCATTAAAAAAAAAAAAAAATCAGGATATAATGTGGGAGCGGCGACACCAATAAGGAGCATCAACATGGCAGATACCAGAAAGGAGTCATTATATCCTTTCAAAAAATACACAAAAAAACCCAACACTACAGGTGTATTATATAAAAGTACAAACACCGATCACGTCCTACATCCAATAGCTGAATAAGTGGAATTTTGGGAACAAAAATATTTTTAAAGGATATGTTCACCTTTTAGACAAAAATTAATAAATGCACATTTTTTAGAGGTAAAAAAAAAATGTGCATTTATTATTTTTTTTCTGCAGGAGCCTGGAAAGCATTGCACCAGTACTCGCTGATGCCATGCAGGTCTCCTGCAGAGCTGTCAGAATATCTGCTTGCCGTACAGGATGTACAAGATGTATGGGGTATAGGAGGATGTACGGAATGTAGGGGGATGTACAGAATGTAGGGGGATGTATGGAATGTAGGGGGATGTACGGAATGTAGGGGGATGTACAGAATGTAGGGGGATGTATGGAAATGTAGGGGGATGTACGGAATGTAGGGGGATGTACAGAATGTAGGGGGATGTATGGAATGTAGGGGGATGTACAGAATGTAGGGGGATGTATGGAATGTAGGGGGGGAGTATGTACAGAATGTAGGGGGATGTATGGAATGTAGGGGGATGTACGGAATGTAGGGGGATGTACAGGATGTATGGGGTGTAGGAGGATGTACGGAATGTAGGGGGATGTACAGAATGTAGGGGGATGTACAGGATGTATGGGGTGTAGGAGGATGTACGGAATGTAGGGGGATGTACAGGATGTATGGGGTGTAGGAGGATGTACGGAATGTAGGGGGATGTACAGAATGTAGGGGGATGTACGGAATGTAGGGGGATTTACTGGATGTACAGGATGTATGGGGTGTAGGGGGATATACAGAATGTACTGAATTGAACACAAGTTTGGTGCATTCAAAATTCAAATTTCCTGTAAATGACGATGTGTACATGGACACATAGGAAAACATTAGGGAGAGTTCAGGGGCTGCTGAAAAAAACGCTGAACGGCTCCTAAACGTTTAGGAGCTGCAGTGTACATGGAGCCTTTAACCACTTCCAGTCCGGACACTTTCCCCCCTTCCTGTCCAGGCCAATTTTCAGCTTTCATAGCTATCACATTTTGAATGACAATTGCGCGGGTCATGCAACACTGTACCCATATGAATTTTTTTAGCATTTTTTTGAGACAGATAAAACTTTATTTTTGGTGGTATTTATTCACGCTGGGATTTTTATTTTCTTTTGCTATAGAAATGAAAAAGTCCAAACATTTTGAAAAAAAAGTGTTTTTCTTTTAAAATTTTGCAAATAAATAAATCTTTCTTCATAAATCTTGACCAAAATGTATTCAATAATCTTTTTAGTAAAAAAACAAAAACAAATTAGTTTATAACCAAGAATTATAATTTTTCTAAAAATTGTTTTTACATTTTTATTTGATTTTTTTTAATTATTTATTTTTTGGGTTTTTTTTTTTTTTACATACTGTCACCCTAGCAGTAGTGTCACCATGGTGACACTGTACTACTTGTGGGGGGGGTGATGGAGATTTATTTATTTTTTTTTTTTACACTGATTGCTTTTACACCCATAAAGGCTGTAAAAGCAATCATTTATCCTTCTCTCGGGCTGCATTCTTGCAGCCATTGAGAACTACTGTGTGAGCTGTGATTGGTCACAGCTTGTCACATGGTACAAGGCTGTTGTGAATAGCCCTGTACCATGTGATCTCTGTGATCATTCACAGATTTCACACGTAGTAAGCAATGATGTCAGAAGTGACATCTTGCTTACTACTATTCATGTGATCACTGATTGGCCAATCAGTGATCACATGATCGGGACCTCACACAGAGGGTCCTGTTGCTATCAATCTGCCAATGAGGAGGGAGATAACAGCGACGAGAGCCACTGCTATTGTGCACGCGTGCTGGATTGGATCTGGCTCAGGTAAGAAGGGGGGGCGAATCCTGCAGCAGAGAAGTTTTTTACTTTAATACATAGAAGGATGAAAAAACCTTGAGGTATTTGAACCTGCATTAAGATGACCTTGAGGGTCTTTGAACCACTTTAACCTCTTCACGCCAGCCGCACACAAATGTGCATTTTATTTAAATGCGTTTACTACCGCTTTAACTACTTTTATTAAAATTTAGAAGAAAAAAATTACATGGAGGCTCGTGTGTCTCCCCGCAGGAAGATGAGAGGTTGGTGTTGGCGTCACAGGCACTGGTTTTGGTGATACAGGCACTGGTTTTGGTGATACAGGCACTGGTTTTACCACATGGCCTCCACCGCCGCCCCTGGAGGGCATCCGCAAGGCTGTGCTGTCCGGTCTCCTTCAAACAAACTACAAACAGCACAAAGGCCTGGCTCCCCCGAGTCTCCAATTCGACCAGCAGTTGGCGAGCTTGGTCTCTGCGTGTCCCGGCTCTCTAGAGGAAGAAAAAAAAAAAAAGTGTTACTCTCTGGGCAAGATCCCCCAAAATGTATAATGCGTCGTCCACAGATGAGTCTTGTATCTGAGAAGTAGAGAAAACGGACGCCAACAGATACACTGTCTATGGCAATGATGCCTATTACTACCTCCATCTTATTACAGGTACTTATACAGCGCTTTACATATATATTGTACATTCACATCAGTCCCCGCCCCCGAGGAGCGTACAAAAACTAAGGTCCCTAACTCACATTCATACTCACATATTAGGGCCAATTTAGACAGGATCCATTCACACCAGCATGTCTAAGGTGGATAAACCCACACAGGCACACATGCAAACACCAGGCAGGGGGTGCCGTGGTTGGGATTCGAACCAACGACCCAGGTACTACAGGCTTCACATATATAGTACATTCACAACAGTCCCCACCCCAAGGGGCATACAATCTTAAGGTCCATACATACACATACTAGGGCCAATTTAGACAGGAGCCAATTAACCTACCAGCATGTCTTTGGAGTGTGGGAGGAAACCAACGCAGGCACAGGGAGAACATGCAAACTCCAGGCAGGTGGTGCCGTGGTTGGGATTTGAATCAATGACCCGAGTACTGCCAGGCTTCACATATATATTGTACATTCATATCAGTCCCTAACCCTCAAGGGGCGTACAATCTAAGGTCCCTAACCCTCACATTCTAAGGTCATCACATTCATTACATACACACATACTAGGGCCAATTTAGACAGGAGACAATTAACCTACCAGCATGTTTTTGGAGTGTGGGAGGAAACTGGAGTACCCGGAGGAAACCCACACAGGCACAGGGAGAACATGCAAAAACCAGGCAGGTGGTGTGTTAGTGTGTTACTGAAGCATCCTGCTATGTACCCAATAATGAATGCTGCAGAGCTGGCTTCATTATATTAGAGGATTTGGTCCATTAGACTTCAAAGGGAAACCAGAGGCACTTTTAGGGACAACCTGGGGTATATATGGAAACAAGGGAACTTTTAGAAACAGTATGGTGTATCCTTGGTAACCAGTGACACTTCTAGGGACAGCCTGGTGTATCCTTGGTAACCAGGGACACTTCTCTAGGGACAGCCTGGTGTATCCTTGGTAACCAGGGACCTTCTAGGGACAGCCTGGTGTATCCTTGGTAACCAGGGACACCTCTAGGGACAGCCTGGTGTATCCTTGGTAACCAGGGACACCTCTAGGGACAGCCTGGTGTATCCTTGGTAACCAGGGACACTTCTAGGGACAGTCTGGTGTATCCTTGGTAACCAGGGACACTTCTAGGGACAGCCTGATGTATCCTTAGTAAGCAGGGACACTTTGAGTGACAGCTGGTGTATCCTGAGAAATCAGGGGCAAAACACTTCTAGGGACAGCCTGATGTATCCTTCCATGTAACCAGGAGATACTAGAGACAGGATGGCCTGGTGTATCCTGAGAACCTGGGACACTTCTAGGGGCAGAGTTTTGTATCCTTGGTAACCAGGGACATGTCTAAAGACAGTCCTGGTGTATCCTTTGAAATCAGGGACACTTCTAGGGGTGGTCTGGTGTATCCTTTGAAATCAGGGACACTTCTAGGGGTGGTCTGGTGTGTCCTTGGTAACCAGGGACACTTCTAGGAACAGCCTGGTGCATCCTTGGTAACCAGAGACAGCTGACAACATCCGGGCTCACCTGGATCTCCTCTATCATGTCATTGGTGAACACCCCCTCTCCACCAGAGGGTCCCAGATGTCCCCCAGCTGCATGGAGGTGACCAGCAACATCCTGTTACTCCTCAGCGCCTGCCGGTCCCTGTCCTCCATTTTTCCAGCTCAGCACCCCACACTTCCGTAAACAAGCAACGTCATTAAGTGACGTCACCACGGACGCCGCCCGGCTTGCGGTGACGTGCACGTAAAGCGCCGCTCCGCTGTGCCGTGGTTGCCAGGCTCCTGGCAGCGTCACGTGACCGCATCCCTTTCCGTGAATGGAAGTAGGCCCAGCCTGGGCTGTATAACACAATAATAAACATTTGAGGAAAGATTATCTGTGCCAACTGTCTCCATGATCCCTTTCCTGCCAGGGAGGCAGCAGCCATCTCTAGAACCCCTTAGCAGAGGGGAGGCTGCCCAACTGTCTGCTAGAAGGTGGACCTTCCCATAAAATGACATAAAATGCTTTTCCTGATCAAATTGTCCCATTATCATCCACTATGAGCTGCAAGGAGACCAAACTGACATTATTTCATCCATGCCTTGCCCTCACCCCAAGCCTGAATCTTTAGTCGCGTGCTGGCACCGCCATCTTGACTAAGGGAAAACTGTCAGTGAAGCCTTGCAGCTTCCTACTGCGCATGCGTGAAACATGCAAAATGTACTTTTGTGAATGGTCTGCAGTCCTCTAGGACCTTGGAGGTATCCCAGAGGGCCACAGGGAGGGGTGCCAAACTTCCGGCTCAGTTTACCGCGCCATACTCAGCCGAAAGTGGGAACGGGTATCTGTCAAAAACCAGGTACCTGCCCCCCCCCCCCCCCCAAAAGGCGCCAAATCTGACGGCAGAGGGGGAAGGAGGCAGAAAAGTGGAGTTTCCAATTTTGGGTGGAATTCTGCTTCAATGGACAAGTCTTGTCATTAAAATTGATTTATTTCAGGTACTTATATAGCGTCATCAATTTACGCAGCACTTTACATAGATATTGTACATTCACATCAGTCCCCGCCCCTGAGGAGTGTACAATCTAAGGTCCCTAACTCACATTCATACATACACATACTAAGGGCCAATTTAGACAGGAGCCAATTAACTTACCAGCATGTCTTTGGAGTGTGGGAGGAAACTGGGGTACCTGGAGGAAACCCATGCAGGTACAGGGAGAATGTGCAAACTCCAGGCAGGTGGTGCCGTGGTTGGGATTTGAACCAATGAACCCTAGTACTGCCAGGTGGAAGTGCTAACCATTTAGCCACTGTGCTGCCCTTTAAAGAAAACCTTTTCATGCCAAACAATGCATCACATGGACTTTTCAAGGTGAGAGGAAACCAGCTGCCAGTACCTGGGGAGGAAACCCATGCAGGCACAGGGGAACATGCAAACTCCAGGCGGGAGGTGCTGTGGTTGGGATTTGAACCAATGACCCGAGTACTACCAGGCAGAAGTGCTAACTATTTAGCCACTGTGCTGCCCATTAAAGAAAACCTGCTGCCAAAAAATGCATCACATGGACTTTTCAAGGGTGAGAGGAAACCGGAGTACCTGTAGGAAACCCATGCAGGCACAGGGAGAACATGCAAACACTGGGCAGGTGGTGCTGTGGTTGGGATTTGAACCAATGATGCTAGTATTACCAGGCAGAAGTGCTAACCATTTAGCCACTGTGCTGTTTTAATCTCATGGCACACATTGCAGTCTGACCTCCTTTGGATCTGCCAACAACTATGAAGTGCAAGGAAGTGGAAAAAAAGTTGCACAAAAAGTGAAAAATTAAATAAAAAAAAAAGCTGCTGGCAAAACAATCAGATCAATTGTGTACAAAAAAGGAAAAATAAATTGCCGCGCTACACCATCAATGTTGTCAAAATAAATACATAAATAATGAAAATGATATGAATGAAAATGGCAAATATATAATCAAGTCCCAACAGAGAAATTGTGAATAAAGTCCCAATGTTCTGTACTGCAATCAATCACCGTGTGTCTTCAAATACACCAAGTGCACCACCACCAAGTCCCAGTAGGACTCGGGCGGGCTGACCATTTGGAAACTCGGGCACTGCCCGAGGGCCCGGGGTCAGTAGGGGGCCCCATGAGATGCCCCTGGTACCTTTTTCATAGGCTTTTTTGAGTTTGGGCAAGGACACAGGGGCCCCATGATCCCCTATTGCCCAGAGGCCCCATGAGTTGTCAGTCCGCCCCTGGTAGGACTCTTACCGGAACATGTGGACCCTTAAACTAATGAGAGTCATAAACGCATTGCCCGTCCCTGCCCAGCCTCTGATAAGCAACCCATGGTGGCGATAAGTAGCCTCCTTTACCGTCTTCTTTAACCGTTAACATGCCGATCCATGGCGCGGCAACCACATGCATTGCAGGCGGTGGTGGCGCGTCCCCATTGATTTGAATTGGCCATGATTAGCGGCGATACGGTCTGCTCAGTGCGACATGCCATTTAATTTATGCTGCAGCTGCGAAGCAAATGCGTCACCGCCGTGGCATTGGTACATCCCTGAGCGACTGCATTGGCGTGCTTAGGTGGGCAGTAAAACCGTGAGTCATCCACCTACTTCAACCCTCAGCTGCTTATGCCATTTGAAACCCGTAGATGGCCTTGTATGGTAAAACCTTTGGAAAATTGTTGCAAAATTGCTCTGTAGGGTAATGAAGGCCATACATGGGTTGAATTCTGAACAAATTTTCTTTGGAAAATCAGAAATTTTGTGCGTTCTGTCCCCCGATGGCGCCACCATTGATTTCGAATTTCGACCAACCAAGCCTTCAATTTCACCTCTGTTGCTGCAGAAAAGAATTTTCGTGGCCAAGAATTTTCTTTTCTTTCCAGGTCACAGCTCACGCTCTTTCGATTATATTTCTAATGCGATTCTCCCATTATTGATTAGAAGTGCGTTCGTTTTTCAAAAAAAAAATTTCCAACACGCCTGATCACTCAAATTCTATGGTCGCATGGAGATCGGCCGTTGCTGTGACCCGCTAATGGTACGAAATTCGAATGAAAATTCTTAGAAAAAATTTCTAAAGAAATTATTTTGGAATTCGACCCGTGTATGGCCGGCTTTACTAGGGACGGGCAGTTGAAATTCTGTTTTGGTGTGAACCTCCTGTGCTCAAAACAAACAAAAAATATATAAACCAAGAGAAACTGCTAACATTAAATCATATACCAATGAATATGTGAACTAATAAATAAATAAAATGTAGCGCTACTCATATAAATATTTACCGTGTATAAAACCAACAATATGTGTATCAAATCATAATTATAATAATATATAACTTATCATGTAATACAGTGGTTCTCAACCTGTGGGTCACCACCCCTTTGGGGGTCGAACGACCCTTTCACAGGGGTCGCTTAAGACCATCAGAAAACCACATATTTCCGATGTGTAAAGAGCAGCTACTGTGTAGAAAGCAGCTGCTGTGTTGAAAGCAGCTACTCTGTTAAAAGCAGCTACTGTGTTGAAAGCAGCAGTATTGGAGGTAAAACAACACTTCATGAATTATAATTACTGGGTAAATAATTTTATGTTTGGGGGTCACCACAACATGAGGAACTGTATTAAAGGGTCGCGGCATTAGGAAGGTTGAGAATCACTGATGTAATACATCATATAATAATAATACCAATACCGTGCCCTTTTAAGTGAAATTTTCACAAATAAATATCATCCAGTGATCAGTGAACCCAAAAACAAATTTCAACAGTAATAGTGATGAAAATAAAAAATAAATAAATAAATATTTCCAACTATTGGAAATATATAATCAATTCCAAAAAAATATATTAGTGCATCTACAGGAATATATAAATAAATATATATACCGTATTTTTCGCCGTATAAGACGCACCTGACCATAAGACGCACCTAGGTTTTAGAGGCAGAAAACAGGAAAAAAAAAATTCTGAACTAATGGACTGCAGACACAGTACAGGAGATGACCAGAGACTGCGGACAGCACAGGGATGACCAGAGACTGCGGACAGCACAGGGATGACCAGAGACTGCGGACAGCACAGGGATGACCAGAGACTGCAGACAGCACAGGGATGACCAGAGACTGCGGACAGCACAGGGATGACCAGAGACTGCGGACAGCACAGGGATGACCAGAGACTGCGGACAGCACAGGGATGACCAGAGACTGCGGACAGCACAGGGATGACCAGAGACTGCAGACAGCACAGGGATGACCAGAGACTGCGGACAGTACAGATGACTGCTGACCTTTGGGGAGGTGGGGAGCAGGTACCTGAATTTGACAGGTACCCGCTCTTACTTCCGCAGAGTTTTTGTTTGCTCTTACCTGTTCCTCGATCCAGCGGCGCGCTGTCTTCCCGGCTTCTGTAATGACGCTCGGCATGACAGCCGGGTGCCCAGTGCGCATGAGCGAGAAGCACTTGCGCTTTGTGATTGGTCCGGCGGCTTCTGGGATCTGTCATGTGTCCCAGGTACCGCCTTACCATTCACAAAAAGCACCGCTTCTTGCGCATGCGCACTTGGCACCCGGCTGTCATGCCCAGCGCCCACACTACAGAAGCCGGAAGACAGCGCGCCACTGGATAGAGGAACAGGTAAGGTCCCGCTGCAGAGCTGAGCGGCCGGCCCGGTATTCTGACACGGCCGCGGTGGAAATACCGGACCGCCGCTCCATATTCGCTCCATAAGACGCACTGACATTTCCCCCCCAGTTTTGGGGAAGAAAAAGTGCGTCTTATACGGCGAAAAATACGGTAAATATGAACCAATGTGTACATCAATACACACGTGTATCCATAAATACCCCCATACAGTGAAAATCAATGTGCATACATGTGAAAAACATGCAACAACACACAACACGAAAATGATATATTTCTGTGCTTATAAAGTCCAAACACTTAGATGATCACACTCCAATCAAAAACTCGTGCTGATATTAGTGTGTCAGTGGGTTGATTGTTGACAAAATATCCGACCACTGGCTAGATTAGCCTCTCGCCTTAAAACTTCGACCCTTGCGGGTCAAAACACTTAAATAGGATCCCTCTCACAGGTCCTTCGGGACGGTTGTCACTCCAAAGATTGGTTCCCACTGCAT